CAGATAATAATCAGACTTTTTGCACAAGTGTAAAAACCTGTGGTTAAATACTGTATATTTGCATTTGTAATAATTAGGTGTGAGACCAAATTACTCTTAAATTATTTTTGTTGAGATAAATGTCAAAAATGCATTATTCACAAATTGCTTCTACTTCTATATTTCCTCCACAATAGGGCTGCAACTAACAACTATATATTAACATTATCAGTGAATCCTCTATTGACTATTTTCACAATTGATTTATAAATTGATCTATAAAATAAAGTGCTTGTGACAATTTCCAAGATGATGTTTTTAAATTACTTGTTTTTTACGACCAACAGTTCAAAACCCAAAGAAATCCGGGTGTTACAGCAGAAGCACAAGAACAGAAATAAGTACAAATAGACAGAGAACTTAGAAAAAAAATAGAAAAAAGAAACGACATGAAGAATTTGACATTTACAAGGCAATAGCAGTACATATACAACTGGTGTTGTACTTGAACTAATACAAGAAAAAGAATAAAAATAATCCTAATTATAGGAATTAATACGCCAGCCTTTGTGTATTAACAATGTACCTCCACAAGTTTAACTGACAAGTGTAATAAATCAAGGCAGGACCTTCCCGCTGAACCACATCAGAACAAATGGATCACGCCAGAATGCTAATTCCCCACCAGCCTCTGTATAAACACAGAGAGAGGGAGGCAGAGAAGCAGAGTGGGTGAGGAGGGGTGAGGCAGCGTGATGAGGGATAGCCAGGAATTTTCTGGCCAGTCAGAGAGATTGGGGAGGGTTTGGAGAAGATTATAGGAGAGATGATTGATAGAGTTTTCTGTTTTTTAGGACTCAAAAAATGGTTTCTACTGAACCCCCTCCATATAAAAAATTAGCCTCTATGGATCCACTCTGTATATGCAGACATATGGTCAACCAAGGCATCAATTATTTTGTAGGAGCAGATGCCAAAACAAGAACTCACATTTTGGAACAAACAGAGGATAACACAGAATGAGGGAGAGAGAAAGGGGAAGAGGGTTAGGAAGTGGGTGAAGGAAATAGTGACTTATTGTGAGGATGTTGGGTCCAAGCCAGTATGTCTAATAACCATGAGTCATTGAGCAAGACATTAAAATCTCAATCGCTTAGTCACCGTAAGCTGCTGTGGATAGAAACACCATTAAAAATGGCCTAAAATCTAAATGTACAACACAAAACGCTGATGCTGCCTGATAAGGGACCTTTGAGTGTGTATGGGAGAGAATTTATGAAAGTAATGAGGTACCATATTAACAATCTGTTACACTGATAAGTGAGGTGCCGCTTGTGGATAAGCTGTGAAAATGAGAGCACGCATTAACAGTGACATTAAATATTTTATTCAGTGTGTTTCCTAAAGCTGACATCCTTACAGATACACTTCTTATTTAACCTGGCAGCACATCAAGAAGGTTTATGTTGTATAAACACTATTAATACTTTCCCTCCATAATACTTAATTTCTGCCCTAAATGCACGCTCTCTGCATTAGCAGCTGCCAGATGTGGGGTCGGCTATCACTGTGCAAGGTAGCGTACTAACATAATATACCATGTCCTACTGAAATTAAATGAAACGTCATGTATTTCCATGCATGATTTCAACAGCATTCTTACTGAATTGGAGGTGAGCCAATGTAGCTATAGTCAGTGTTTCTAAACTGTTTATGTGATGGGATTGTCACAGGATACATTAGTGTAATATTTATTTTTTAAATATATTTATTTTTAAGGATTTCATTTCACTTAGTACAGCATCCGTTTTCGCATTCCTTTGCTATGGAATATTATATATATATATATCAACCTCACACCATTGTTTGACTGTGTTTGTTTTGTGATTATTTTCTATTCTCCTCATACTTTATCTGCTCATTCTGAGTATTATATGCTTTGTAACCTTTATGTTCTATCTTCTGCTTTGTTGGCCAGGACACTCATGTACACACACACACACACATCACTCAAAAACAGTGTTGTAAAAATTTACTTCAGTGAAGTAGCTTTAAAAAAAGTACTCAATAAAGGTAACAGGATTTTTTAAAAAGGAGAACACTGTTGGATGTAATTGTTTTCATGTGACTCTGAAAGGACAAGGGGTCAAACTGGACTATTTAAACTGGAAACAAATTCAATAAAGTGCGCAAAGCAAAACCAGATGACTCTCATCTCTTTTTGGTGACTGAGCATTGTCAGTTTATGGCTAATCAGTGGTTTTCCAACATCAATTCTCACTTCACTTTTATCAAAGTTGAACCAAGCACAATAGTAAATTATGAGTGTGCATGCTTAAAAAATTAACATTTAATACTTAAATCTCTCTGAATAACAGTGTCAGACCACAAACATTTAAATGGTCTTCTCAGTTAGTACCGTGGTATTATTAGTAAATAAATGTAATTAAAGCTTCGGCAGTAACTATATAAAATAATTTTAAAATACTACAATTATGATTCAAATGACTCACACCTTCAATAAAAGTAAAAGAAAAAAGAAAAGAAAAACAACAAACTGAGTAATTGCTAGTACTGAAGTTATTCCCACCACAACTGATTATCCATCATGATAAATAGCATCATTTCCTCCACTGTGTTAATATTTGAGTTTTGGGTGAAACTGAGAAACACTGAGTTGGAATATTCCCGGTCTCATTCCCATGATAGCTGCCACAGACAGAGTTGGTTTATGCATACCGGTCTGCTCAAATAAACCATACCAACTTAATGCCACCCACATGCCACTTAAATCAAAACAGCTTAACTCCGCAGAGAGGCAGGATGGATGTGAAAATTAAACAGGCGTTAAAAAAGTTTAGGAGGCTAATAAACAGACATTTCAGCGTCTGTGTCACGGCTTATTTCCTAATCAGTCAATCTCTTTCTGTCTTTGTTTTTCTTTACTGTAGGCTGACTTGGAATATAAAGGCCATCACTTTCACTCACCATCAAACTGCCTGACTGATAAATAGTGCAGACTGGTCCTTTACTGAGTTATGTTGATTACAGACTGAGGTACAGACATACAGGCAAGGTCTGACACCTAGTGGAGGAAACATAAAAGACGCTGCCTTTAAAGAAAGAGGAAATTAAATGTAGTTATCTGATTTGCAGTTACATGATGCAGTTTCTAATTATTGAAATATAAAGACCTGATATTCCCTCTATTAAATAACTAATGAATTTAAGGTTATGTGTCAAAAGTGAAGACAGCTTGTCTTTTTGTTCCAGTAATGGAAATCCTAGTTTAGATCACAGCTTGTTAATGCTATCAATATTTCTCTCATATCTAATATCTAGAATTGAGATTAAAAGAGCATAAGAAAGATGGATATCAATAAGAAAATAGGCAATAGGTGTGCAGGAAATAGAAACATCCTTATAATAGAGAGAGCGTTGCTTTAAAAAGAAAATATCTCAGAATATGGAATCAAAAAGCATAACAAATAAATGTTTTAATTTCTAACCTCTCTAATGCTATTTTATTGGTATTACTGTCTATTCAGCACAAAAAGAATGATTGAGATATATCTTAAATAAAAGGACTCCATGTATATACTGCACTTAAAGAGCTTATTTAAAATGGCATCATCATTGATACTTTGATGGTGGCCTTAACCAGATACTGCTGTGTATGCATAGATTAATCTATGTGCAATCATATGCAGTAACATAAATACAACAGCTTTAAACACATATGTATCATCTTATGTAGCAGCTCCACCTACGGATGACACAAAAAGGTTCCCTCTCTGCAGCAGCTTGTCTTGTCAAACAGGGAAACAAAACCCTGCTTTAATTAGATGCTGGACTAATTGCATAATATCTCCCATAGTGCTGCAGGGTGAAGTGAAGCATAAGGAGACAGGAGAATGCTGCCTTTGTTGTTGCCTTTTTGCCTAGTTTGGCTCTAACAGGCATTTGGAACCATCGGCCTGTGGATCTGGTCCTGGAGGTTGAGTGATTTGGTGCACTTACTCCTGTCCCCGAAACAAGCTGGGGTGAGCACGAAGACAGCAGGAGTAAAATGACTGTAGTCATGGCTATTAAATTTAATGGCTTGTGTTTTGAATTGCTGTTTGAGATCAAATTATGAATTGAATGAGTCTCAATTTCAAGTTTCATTGAAATTCAATTTTAAGTGTTATTCCGCAGGAGAAAGTTCATTGTTTTTATTATTTATTGACGTCATGTGATTTGATACAGTTCTGAAGGTGTTAATCGATAGAAAATCTTTAATTGATTTATTGCTTAAGTCATCTTCAGCTTCTCAAACATGAGAACTTGCTGCTTTCTCTTTTTGTAAATAAATACTGAATATCTTTGTTGGTTTGTTTGGACTTTTGGTCGGACAAAACAATTTATAGATATAATATTGGATTCTTTAAAAAAAACCATTTTCTGACATTTTATAGATCAAGATAATTGTGATATATTGATAATAAAGTCATCAGTTAAAGCCTTAATTTGAAACTGATGTTTCAGACAGCAGATGGCACCAAATGTTTGTAGAAGTATCTTGCTGCCCTGTGCCCTCCTTTGTCTCATGGATGCATTTGACATCAGAGGGTTGCTTTTAAGAACAAAAACCTCATGAGAACACCATATTTTAAATTAATTGAAATTGAGTCCCTCATTGTCTTCCTCTCTCGGGCTGTCGGTGGTCTTTGCAAGCTGGAAGCAGGCAAGCTCTTTTGGTTTTGGGTCACCACTCAGAACTTATTGCAAGCAGTATAAAAGGCCTACCATCTCCCTCCCCTCAGTGTCCCCCTAAAACGCTGAGCAGAATAATGAGCAGTAAACAAGGGGAGTAGAGGGGAAGAGAGAGAGGAGGGGGGTATCCAACTTGAACTGAGGGGGTGATAAAAGAGGGGGTGTCTCCACAGCGACTGAGTCGAGTTGTTTGAGTCACATGGCCTGCGTTTCTATTGAAACCCAGTGAGAAGAGTCTTGAAGCTCAGCCTTTAGTCCATGTTTTGGAAGCTAATGGCAGCAACATGAGTGGAGCCCAACAGGACCGAGCAATGATGGCAGACAGCCTCCCTCTGAACAAGACAGCTTTGGGACTACATGACCAGGAGATGAACAAAGCTCTCTCGGGTGCGTTGTATCATTTACATTGTTTCATTTCACAGTACTGTCACCATAAAAGTTTTACTGAACTGAATAATGTTTCTTCAAAGTGAAACTTTTCTTTCCTTCTATTCAGAGTTCAAAGTGTTTAATATTGTCATCATTGCCCTGGCCTTGTGTATCCTCACCATCACTGGATTGTACTGCATCACTGTCTGCTACAACCGCAGCAGGTGAGGTTCAGATATCAGATCTACTTTAACACTTTAAAATCATCCCTGCAAACACTTGACATTTAAATTGCAGCTGTACTTGTAATACCTCTGCTGAATGTTAGTCTTTAAAGCTGCTGTAAATTCGAATAGAGCACAATGCCATGTGAAATAACATTAAACTCATTAGTGCATTCACTGCCATCTTTTTCACCAGGCAGTCAAAGAGAGCCCACGTTTATGAGAGTGCAGTGACCCGAGGCGAGCAGCTGGACCCCGTGGCGGTCAAAGCGGTGAAGAGGTCGACCAGTTTCATCAACCCTCTGGCCTTCTTCAGGAAACCAGAGGCAGCAAAGGACAACTCCAGGATCTATTACATCTACAGTAACCCGCTGCCTGTAGGACTGAAGGAGGAAGAGGAGTTGGGGGAAACCAAAGCCCCACAAGGACCAGAGAAGCAAATTGAACTGTCGTTTCAGGAGTATGCCAACGATCCAAACAGTGGTGTCATCCTGGACCCTCCAATTTTTTACATGCAGCTTTAGAGGGTAGGAGGGAGAATCTTAAAGGTCTGAGACCTGATCCCTGCCGCTGTGTCTATCAAAATGTCAACATGTAGAGGCCAATAAAGAGGCAATAACATTCAGTTTAGTTATCATGGGGAGTACTACTCATCCTGTAAAAAAAAAAAAAGTATAATGTCCTCTGTAGCTCAAGTCTGGGAACATAATTATTGTTATTTCAGCAAAGGATTTGAGACTACAAACTTACAACAGACAACTTATGTTCTAGACACTGGTATGAAGTTTGAAAGACGTGGGTATTTGCCAAGCAAGAACATAAGATGCTATCAAGTTGCATTATGGGAAATGTAGGATCCAGTGTTTGACCAATACTATCGACTTAAATTGGGGATATTTCTTCCACTGCTGCTTTAATTTTGACCCTATTTTGTATTTTGATTATCTTGTGTCCCATTAAATTCTAAATCACTGGTGTAACCCTTTAATAACTCCACAGTAAGTGGAAGGGTGCAACCGCAAAAAAGGATGTGTATCTGATATTGGAGAATACCTGTGTTGATATCACTGGCTATAAGTCTTAGCTAATAGAGAGTCTAACAACAGTGGTCTGTCCCTAAAAGATAGATGCAGGACCTTAATGCACCCGGTGGAGCATTTGACCACTAGTGGGGCTATGGAGCATTCATTAGCGAGTTTTGTTTGTATCACGTGGCAACATGATCCACATTTCTGTTTTGGCTGTTCCACTGATTGACAGTTAGTAAACATTAATGTAAACAATGCTGAATTTGAAATGTTTTTTAAATGGCTTTACAAATGTTTTACAAGATTTAAAAAATGCATTCATCGTGTTTGTCAGGCCTCAAGGATACACACAATGCCTTTTGGGGATAAACACTGAATGTAAACAAAACACTCATCAAGCTACCTTTAATTTTAAAGGTGCAAATTGTACAGGATTACAGAGGCCTAATCATGTAATCATGTGTAATCATGTATAATGCTAAAATGGTCCTTCTGGATTTCTTCTGTAAATGCATATTATGATAGAGTTAGAATACTGCACATACTGATGTTCTGCTCAATCCTCATAACTTTCCACAGGACGACATTTTTTATATTTTTCTATATCTTAAGAAAGTTCTTCCACATTTGGGTTTACAAAATTAACCTGGATAACCTCAGAAATGCCGCTTTGCCAAGCTGAACAGGAAGCTGTCATAGTTCAAGAAAAGCTTATTATGTTGGAGACACAAGGCAGTAAACACAGCAAAGTTCCTTCTTGATTTTTTTTTTATCATAAAATTGCAGATACAATGTGCTTTACAAAAGAAGCCGAGTGTGAGACACAGAAAAAGATGAGAAAATTACAAACGATTATCACTGCAGAGCAATCGATCGTTCAGTTCTCCTGGGTAAAAGAATCAGATTGCACAAGAGGGAGTCAGACGATTGGCTGGGTCTCCCTGATCAGCCACTCCAGTGCGTCCTTCCTGCCCTGCCTATCCAGTTCTGCTCCAACCACCTCCCGGCACTTCCTGTGGTACTCGTTCACCCAGTCCCGCTGCAGTACAGAGAAGAGTGGCCATCAAACCATGATGAGACTGTGTTTAAGTAGTGCATAATGTAGTAGAAATGATTTTGATATAGGTCATCTTAAGCTAAATCGTTCCTATTTCTCACATTTATTTTCCAACTCCTGTTAAGTAGGCTTTTTATTGTGTTGTATTTGAAGTGTTTATCAAATGACCAATAAAATCCTTGTGAGATGAATTTTAAATTTCATTCAGGTGAATGCGTCTTTGATTGTTTAAAATATTAAACAAAATCCCACAGGATATTCCTCACCTCCTTCTGAGTGAGCAGCTCTGTGTTCATCATCTTGACTTGGATAGGAACCAGAGTGAGGGGCTCAAATGTCAGACTACCTCTGTTTCTGTAGTTGTACTGAACATACACAGACAAGAGAACAAGGAATTATCAATAAGGTACCAGAGCAACTCTTTTCTTTCCATTAGGACTCTTTCTCAATTGTAGGACCTACTTTGGGCTTAGTTGGTATCACAAGGACCACATTTTCAATACGAATGCCAAAAGAACCATCTTCATAATACCCAGGTTCTAGAAAACAGGAAAAGATTTTAGATGATAAACACAGAAAAGGCACAAAAATAAAGTTTTGGGGACCTAAAAGTGACATCACATCAAAGGCAAGTGAACAAAGGAAGGACAGTATTTTTATATTATAGTACTGCTATATTGACAAGGACAAGAAACACTGCGGGAAAGCCAATTCCCGCAGTGTAGCCTAAAGCCAGTTTATGACATTACTGAGACATTTGTGAAGACTTGTTGCTGTTGGCTCTGTCAGTCAAAAGTGATGTGACATTTATCCTTTTTAGTTCCTCTATTTTTTATCTTATCTTTATTTATATTTTTCTACAGTGATTGTGGTTCTTATGCACCAGTGTACCAAGGCAAATTCCTTGTATGTGAAAACTTAAACCTGATTCTGATTCTGATTTGCAAGGCCTGTAGTTAACTTCTCCAATATGAATCATCAGTTAGTTAGCATTATGGGCATATGTTTGTTGCTTTCACTTTCAAACTGACAATACAAACAAAGTGTGTAATTCATTGCTTTCATTACATTGGTTCTGTTTTAAATCCTCCTTACTGTCATTATCACCAGAAGTGGTGTGAGGAAGCTGACCAACACTTCAGTAGCATTTCGACATTGTATATATGCCTGCATGCCGTTGTGCATTTTATGATAGTCCACAACATACATTAATTTATTCACCATTTACAGTATGGATAAAAGACATTACTGAGTCCAGCTACAGTAACATTCACTTGCTAAAACTTGCTAAAAGAAGGCACTCCCCTCCCCACCCTCTGCCATACCATCACTGACGATCATGCCAGCCTCCAGGGGTTCATCAGCAAAGGTCTTGTAGCTGATGCCGCAGGGCCCCTCGTGGACGTTGAGGAAGCAGCCCACGCCGTGGCCCGTACCGTGGAGGTAGTCTAGCCCCGAATCCCACAGAGCTGCACGGGCAAACGAATCCAACAGGTGGCCTGGGGAGGGGACGGAGGGTCAGTTCTAGATATCACACTTTGATCACAGTTGTTTTTTTAACATACTTTAATGTGTTTAATAGTTAAACACATTTTTTCCCAAATGTAAAACTAAGTGATTTTGTCTCTGTGTTAGCACTGTTTTAGTTAGTATACTCCCTTACCTTCTATCCAGTGCATGCTGGATGCACAAATGTATGTATAAGTGAATTTTACTACAGATTTAACTTTATGACATGCTCTATCTTTATCACATGTTTCCAGTGTGCTTCATGGGAATGCTATAATTAAAGGTCAATTGTGTAATCATATTGGCTTGAAGTTTAACAAGAGCAGACTTTGTCTCTCTTCTCTAAACAGTGTTTGTGCTGGAAATTCTCCAGTTGTCTTTGTGCTTGACGACACAGATTCTGACTAAACAAGATAAGTCAGTGATGACAGACGTATTTATTGTTGGCTTGTTTTTTTTGGCTGAGTCTTAATAAAAGTTCTACATTCAACAAAAGACAGAGAATATTTAGGAACCATGTATATCTGAATGAATTATTTTAGCCTCAATGCTTTGTCTGTTTTATGAACATGTTTTGAAGTAAAAAATGTTTAATCCTGGTATACACTTTATATACTATATACAGTGTAAGATAACCCTTGTATCACAGTAGACAACATCACCTTTCGTTCCATTTGGGAAAACAGCAGCACTGACAGCTATGTGTCCCTTCAGCACATAGGTAAAGCATTCCTAGAGGAAAAAGAGAGAGCACACAATACAACATATTAAATAAAATCATGGTTATGATAAATTCAGTAAATCTACAATGATAGGTACATTGACTGAAGCCTCGGTCAATTAAACTGCAAACCTCAGATTAGACTTATTTTGACAGTGAAAACAGAGCACTGGCAAATTTACCTTCTCAAAAGCAGATGGTGTCCCAAAGTGAATGGTGCGGGTGACGTCTGTGGTTCCATCACTGCCAAAGACAGAATATTGATGCTGATACATACATTATGTTGTCTGAGTTTTTGGTATGGGGGTGATGAGTGTCTGAATTAATACTAGACCTGGTTGGTCAGCCTTACTAGATGTGTATAATAATTATTTTGTTTACACGTATTGAGCTCCGGAGTCGATCAGGTACACTTCATTCATGGAGAGGGTTCTGTTGGTTTCAGGCAGTGGTCTAAAGGAAAATAAAATAAAATCATGGATAAACTCTTACTTACTTACTGCTTATTCTAAAACCGCAAATGCAGCTAGACAAATTTAATACATCTGGCTCGGTTTCATTAGCCAACTGACCTGTAATGTATGATCGCTCCGTTTGGACCGACGCTGGAAATTGTGGGGAAACTGAGGCCAACAAAATCTCTCTGTTGACTGGAAAAGACAGTATCCTTGAGAAAGGGAACTCTCTCACACAGGAATGCACCAATCTTAATTACAGGTAATAAAATATTAAAATGTTTTAGGAACTCTTCAGTGACAGGAAGGGAAAATACTATTGTAAGAGGGTAATAGAAATATTATACTTTTAGAATGAGAGTGAAACATTTTGAAATTGAACAACGCATCTTCATTTTAAGGTCTTCGGTACACATTTTGCAACACTTCCATGTCCAGTAGAGGGAGATATAATTCCAGAAAAGTCCCCATCAGTAACCAGTTCAAATGGCATCTTTCAAACAATATATAAACAATAAGCATTTCAAACATGAAAGCTGACATGAGGTTAAACTGGGTGAGCTCGCCAACCAAAGAGGAAAACCAAAACTGTTTGTAAAACATCCACTAAAAAAACCCACCTGCGTAATTCTTCAGCCTTATCCGCAGCAGAGATCTCTGTCACGGTGCCTTTTGGAATCTATAAAACCATAATCACAATAACCAGTAACGCGGAAAAGGTTTTTAATAATACTGGCATATTCTTCAGTTCACGCAGCAGTGAAATGATAACCGTCACCTGAACCCAAGGTTCCAACACTCACACTGATAAATCTCAGTGTCTTATCAGTTACCCTTTAAGATTTGTTTCCTACAATATAAGGTATTGTTCGAAAAAGGCAGATTGGGAATCAATTATAATCAATTAATCATTTATGTGAGAAAATAGTCATTCTAAAATGCTATATCAGTACACATAACATACCAAAATATTTATTATATTTTTTGAGTTGAGCAAACAACTCCAAAAATATACAACATTTTTCACTTATCCAATCATTTAAAAACCTTTACGGCCTTGTGTAATTTTGTGGGAACCATGTGAATACAGGCAGGAGTAATCTGTTCTGTAAAAATGATAATACCTCCTTTTCCAACCATGCAAAGAGTTCACACAGGGCAACTGCATCCTTGATCTGTTGGTGGAAAGTGCAGGAGATTATGTGAGGTACAGTTTATGAAGATGTCATAAATATAATAATAAGGAGATGAACACATTTTAAGGTGGTTCAAAGGTTCTTACATGGGCCATTTTCATGCCTTGAATTTCAGTGGCGTTCTTCACAGCCTTGGCGAGGCAGAGTGGAGTGTACGGAATTGGAGTCCTGTGGGCCTGAAATAGGTCAAGAAGAAAGATTTACAGCTAAAAACGTATCTGATGTTACCATAAATTACCACCAATTAAATCATAAAATGTGTTAACATTTCTATATTAGAAAACATTGAATACTGATCACCTAAATGCCTGTCTGCCTTGACAAATGGTTCAGTAAATTAACTGCTGATTGAATGTTTTTATACACGAAAAGTCTTGGTT